CTGTGAGTCAGCAGGACATAAAATCCCCGCCCAGTAAGTGAGTCTGCTTTCGGTTAACGATTTGGCCATTTGGGCAAGCACTTCCATCCGCCACCTATTGGGATATCAGCGCGGCCAGGGGGCAATGCCAACTATTTGGGATATTGGGCAAAAGTTTTGGCGCCCAACGGAACCTTCAATCTTGGCCAAAGCTCCCGACCAACTTAATTGAAATGCGAAATAAAACATGCTTGCGCCGGAAAAGTTATTATGGACAACTCCGGTTACCCATCAACTAAAGTGAAAGGCTCTCTCTGGTGTGGCAAAGTTTTGCCAGCGATGATCAATGGCCAATAAATGATTAGGGCCCCACAATATTTGCCAATTTCGCTGATTTCGTTACCAATCAGCATACTTATGTGAGCATGTAAAAGTTAAAGTTCATCAGCACAACTTTTTCATTCGACGTGCGCCACGAAATGAAAGCCTTGCTCGAAATTTAATTGCTCGGCCATAGTGATTATATGGCATTTTATTTCAACTAACGTGCGCGCTGCACATTTACTGACATTAAAATGCACTTTGACAGACATCGGATTGCCGCAGGCTGCCCTCCAGTTTGCACAATGTTTAGGCAATTATTTACTTCGGTTGCACAGCCATGTGGGGATGTGGGGCTATGTGGGGCGACATGATAGAATAGCCCCACATAGAGAGCCCCAAAGCTTATCTTGACAGCCATTAAATGGCCGCAAAGCGCTGGAATACGTGATTTACGAGTGTGTGTGTGAATAGATCGGCCTTTTGGTGGGGGTGTGTGCGTGCGTGTGCATTTTTAACAGGGGTCCAAATTAGGGGGGTATACTAACTTCTAATCGCGCTTATCTCGCGACTCCCGCTGCCAGCCACCCAGTTTTAGCGCCTTCGGGTGCTGCCTAGTTTATTGACCCATTTGACTAGGTGAACTAGGCAATTTGTTTGCGGCGATAAATCCTGCAAATTATGGCCCAATTTTCATGCGAGTTAATTTCCAGTTAAAGTTCAGATTTCGCCGGCACATCCTATAAATAGAGCAGACATGTACATATGTACTCCTGTTTGATAGATGATTCCGCCCTTCTTGGAAAGCTAATAATAAGGCGCACACATTTCGGTTCCCAGCCCCCTTCATCCAAGGAATTCCGCCCGGCTTTCATTAATATTTTGCTGGGTCGCACAAACAATGTATTGACATTTCAATTAATTATGTGAGCGGGCGGCGGAGGGGGAGCGGGGATGGAAGCTGTGACCTTTGGAGCTGTCAGCTGAGTGATATGAAATTCTGGCTTGACATTTGCGAGCTGCGAGTGCGGAAATTCGAGACTATTTTCTTGTCAATCATACCACAAGCGAAGTGCCCCGTAAGAATCGCAGAAACCTATATGATTTACGATCTCTAAACGTTTTTTAACGATCTGTAAACGCTTATAAATAATTACTAATAATATCAATTAATATAATATTAACAATTTGGTAGCTTATCTAGAAAACAGAATTAGTTCAGCTTGATATTAAAGTGTTATTAAAAAGAAAAAGCTTAACATCTCGTGTAAAGGTATCGAAGAACAAGTTATATTAACTTGTACTATAAAATGGCTAAAGCTACATTGTTTTTATTTATATGCACGCCCGCAATTTAACAAACCCATTGCACAATTTTGATTACTTTTGAAGCACATCGTTAGTGGGATTACTATCAGCTCGAAATGGGTTCTGAAGTGGTGTTGCTCGTTAGAGCTGCGAAGTGGCGTCCTCGAGTTCGGCAGGCTTTTTGCAATCCGTTCGAACCACTCACCTATGCAACGCACTTTGACCTTTCGATCCCCAACCCAACCCCGCTTCGTTCATCCAGCGCCCAAACGTGTCATCAGCTGTTGCTAAAACGGCTTGTGCCTCATCCACGGCGATTCGGGTGTTTGTGAAACTGTCTCCTGGCTGTTAAAGTTAAGGCGCCCGTCTGAGGTGAGCTTTATGCAAATCCTGGCTGCAGAATATTACTCATACGCACCAGTACCCGCAACCACGCACACATACATGTGTGCATGTGTGCACAACAGGGCCCTAAATGGCGAAATGCTACTAAGCCCACTTACTTACAATTTAGCAGAAAAATAAAGCGAACGAGAGACAGGAAGAGCGCACAAAATCATATGGCGAAAACGAGAGTGTAAAATTTACATTGCATACATAAAACGAGGAGCAAAGCGTGGGGCAGCGAAACAACACAAAAAACAACAACAAAATGAATCCAGCTTTATGGCAGGCACCCACACAGGCGCACACATCATCTCACAAACACGCCACTTGACTTTATTCAGCAGCTATCGCAAGTGCCTTAATAGTGTGCGTGTGTATCCGTGTATCATAGTACGTATGTGTGCGTGGACTACTTTCTGGTGCGGGCGGCACAAAATCCAATCAGCATAACGAGCTACAAGCGCCGCTGAGCGGCATAAAACGCAAAAAATATATGTGGCTGTGTGCGGGCTGTGATTGTGTGGCCTGCGCGTGTGTGTGTGGGTTGAGATTGCACAAACACAGCACGCTCTTTTGGCCAACACACTGCGAGAAATAACGCTGCTGGGGAGGAGACAAAGCCATAAGTCAAGACCGGATTCTAGGTCTAATAAATCGCACCCAGAGCCTGGAAGGAGTGAATCTATCTGAAGGAATCCTATTTTCCGAAAATTCATTCAGCCTTTGATGTCTGACTATTAATAGGTTATAAGTCACTCAACTTTTATACCCACGCCTATAAAATAGGCATATAATTTGCAAGAATACCCACAAATTTACTAAAAATACTTGAGTGGCAGCCTTTACATCACATACATCGTCATATACGAGGGAATAAAATAGATCTAAATGGAAATACGTGTGTTCGTATTGCTGATTAGATGATCATTATATGATCAATGATATGATATATCATTGGACTGCGCCTATCCTTAAAATCTGAACACAGTACAGTTTTCTTAGCCATTTGTAATGACTTAGGATTGTTGACTTCCAGTTTAGTTAGGAACGCAGCCAGCAGCCACATCCTTCTCAGTTTCGAGCAAGCCAAGTTGGGCATGTTTTCCGCAGTTCTGCACGTTCATTCAACTCGCAGCTTGGCAACAACAAGCGGAGCGGCCAAAACGGCCCAAACCCCAAGATTTCGCTGAGGTAGACAGGCGCACAAGTGTTGTTGCTTTTATTGTCGGTGGCGAACAGTGAAAACATTGCCAAGCTCAAAAGTGTGTCGACTCGTCACAAACAAGCATACACACTCACACTCGCACTCACACTCACACTCGCACTCACACTCGCACTCGCACTCACACTCACACTCGCACTCACACTCACGCACAAACAAATGAAATAAAAGTAAACCCATTTACACCACACACACAGTCGGTAGTCCTTCTCCACCACTCTTTTTTTATTTTTTATTTTTTTGAGGGAAGGAGGATTGGCGCCAACTGCTTGGCAAGCTGCAAATGTGGGACATTTGGCAGTCGCAGTCGCATTGTTAACTTTCTTTGACAGCGGGCCAAAAAACAAGAATAGGGGAGCGAGCCAGGGGGGCGGGGGAGGACCGCCCGGGTCCATGTCCATGTCCTCAACTCAGCGCCAATGTTGCCGCTGCTGTGCTCGCTGCAGATGCAGATACAACTGCACGGGTGCTTGCTGTATTTATGGCACAAAATTGCAGGCACAGCAGCGGCAAATTAACACAGCACGAATGCAAATTCGGAGCGGCCAGCCTGTTGCCATTTCAGCCATTACCATTCGAGAGCCCATTCCCATTCCCATTCCCGTTTCGACCAATTGATTATTTGCCCGGCAGCCCACATGGCAGCAACTGTGAAAGCCCGACTCGGTCATGGCCAATGTTCCACACATGTGTATGTACAGGAGCGGTGCCCTGCATGTCCTTGCTGCGAGGGGCGTTTGCGTGAGCAGTGGGCGTGGCACTCCGGTCACCACAACGCACTTATCGCCCATGCACAGCACGTCGGCCATTCGGAGTGGAGAAAAATGCTTATAAAGGATTAATTCGATTCCAATATTCACATACGCAACGCATTTTGCATTTCGCATTCGGCACTCGGCATTCTACATTCTGTATTTTGCATCTCCGGCCATCCCAAAAGCTGGTCAGCAGATATATCGGGATACTGCCGGTCATTGTGGGCATTGTTTTAAATGCCCCGACCATAATGATTGTTGCAAAGGGGAGCGAGAAACAGAAAGTGGCATTTTCAGAGTATTGAGTGGGATGCGCGCTGCAGGCCGGAGATAAAAGTGTTAAATGCTGCAATTAATAAATACTCGTTAGCTTTGGAATGCCCGAGACTCCTGACAAAGGCAGAAAATCTCACTGCTTACCTACCTAATTTAACTGCCAGCGATACTTATTTGCAGAGCATTCGTGCTGCAGATTGAACTGCTCAAAAATTCCTGGGCATAGTCCTTTGTAGCTCGTTGAATGTGCTGAGCTGCGATTGCAATTTGCATTTTTCATGAATGCCAGGCAACGTAATGGATTCCCTGGGCAGCAGATTAAAGCTGCATTACGGTGTCAAGACCTTTTAAATTTTCAATTTCCCACCTTCAGTGCTGGCCAGAAGGATATTGCAAATTTAATTGCATTTATGGCTGCATTTCGCATTTCGCATTTCGCATTCGCAAAACGCATTAACACACCACCGACAAAGGCCGAAACCGGGAGTTGTGTGCGCCAGAGATTGAGATGCACATGCGATGCACCGGGATAGATAGCCAAATGGCATGTTAATTGGCCTAATTCAATAGCCAATTGAATTAAACACCACAAACACACATGCTTAAGTCCATGGAGGGGCTTAAGTCACCGAAGTTTTCGGTCGACGCAAAATGATTTAGTGGACACTCTGATTTTGCGGCGACATCGATATGATTATCAAGCAAACCAGTCAATGCCGCGGCGCTAATTGTTAATTACCCCTACATTTCAGCTCGCATCGCCCACCACAGGAGGCTGCCACGCCCCACGCCCCACGCCCCTCTCCAGGAAGCAGGACGCACGGCGCACCACACCCCACTCCCAACATGGGCAGCGGACACTACTTCTGGGCGATCTTATACTTTGCCAGCCTGTGCAGTGCTTCACTGTAAGTACCCACCGTACTCCTCCACCCATCCGATCCACACAAGTACTCGCCACTCGCACCACAGTAGCTGCAAAATGTAGACCGCTTCACAACTGCCTCCCGCTCCAGTTTCCACTTTCCACTTGCCATTTATTTAACACACTTACGTTTTACTTAATATATTTGCTCTTGTGTCGCGTGTTTCACACTGCTCTTGGCCGGAAGTGGCGCTCAAAATGCGATTTACATACAATTGTCATTAACTTGGCCGAGCCACGCCCATTTGTGAAGCAGCAAGGCCGATATGTGTCGAAATCCATATGCATATACACTGAGAATGATTTCTTACCTGCATAAATCGCAGGCTCAAAACAAATTAGTGATGAACTAAAATTGATATTAATTATATTGAAAGAACTACAATTGGATTGGATAATAAAAATAGAATACCTAATATTTCTCTGTGTATATAATATATATCGGCCATGGGGCTTCCGATGAATAATAGCAGTGTGGCTTTAAAGCTACAGTTTGCATTTAGCCGCCTCGATCTACTTGAGTTTCCATATCCTTACACACACTCACGAACACACTCCACCAGCAGGACACATTATTGAAATGTAATTAATTTTCGTGCAATTTTTTGTCGGAGCATAAATTTTGGAATTATTTACGCTCAAGTCGAGGTCAGAGTCAGCAGCTATGTGACTTTGCCTGGGCTTTTGATAAGTGCGACAGTGTATAATAGCAAGGATAACGATAAAGCGAACCCTAGCACACACTTTCGATGATTTGTACATACTTATATTTAGATATCAACAATAACGTGCTGTAAATTGTATGCAATACTTTTGTTTTATGCGATTTTTCAAGCCAAATATTACCTACAAATTGCTCAGCTAATGTTTTCCAAAACTTCAATACCATTTAAATGTTTCAACTCTCAAATTGCCCAATTAATTAAAGCAAACATTTTCAAATTATACATGCGTACCTATCCGTATCCTGATTTCAGAGCAAATAATGCCAAAATAAATTTCCGAGAAAAGGAGAAAAAAGTCTTAGATCAAATTTTAGGTGCAGGCAAATACGACGCCCGAATACGACCATCTGGAATAAATGGCACAGGTGAGCATGGCTTCCGATTACCCCCTATAAAACTAAACTTAACCAAGCCGTAAATATAACTTTTAATTGTTGTTTTAACTCCGATTTCTAACGACATTCGTTTGCTTTTATAATTCGTTTTTATTTTGCCTTTTTGTGTTCGATACAACATGTGTAAATTTATTGGTAAAAGCTATCGCTAGGAAGCTAAGCAAACAAAATTATGAAATGAAATTCTAGCTAATGTAAGCCTCTGTTTAAGTTTAACGATGATTAAGTTTCCAATGTCGATCATCTCTAACGTAGCCTAGAGTGCCAATCAGATCAAGCAATACATAGCCTAGTTAGATCAGCTCAATAAGTTAACCGTTTTACATTTACGTCGAAAACTCACGTTTAAACCAAACTTTATGCCAGATGGTCCCGCCATAGTCAGAATCAATCTATTCGTTCGCAGTATTATGACGATTAGTGATATTAAAATGGTAAGTCGCACTGAAACGGAGCCAGTAAATCCGATATCGTCATTCGAATTCGATAGATGCCCCCACCATCCCTTTGTCCTGACTCTTAGTCTGTTTCTTGCTATCTCACTCTGCCTCCTCATCAAGAATTAGAAAACACTAAGGTTGTCTTGGTAGCTCTTGCAACTCACACACACTCTTAAAGTACACAATGCCCACACAGCCCACTTGCAACACCCACACAACACACAACACACAACACACTTGTATTTTGCGTTTTTCGTTGACTCGTTCTCTAATTCTCTCGATACAAGCTACCCTATATATATAGCGTATATACATCCAATGCTAAGTATTTGCGTTTGATTTTTGCCACATTTCGGCAGTTTGTACCAGTACCTGTCCTTCCTGTTTGTACATTTCTGTTTCCGTTTCGGTTCGTTTCAATAGCAGCGTTTGTTGAGTTTCATTTAAGATAAACAGCAAATAACACTCGGAAAACGCGAGCAAAAACATTGCCTACTTTTCTGCGCGCCTTTGCAATTCCTGAATAACTATTGGAGGCAGGCTTCAACTCAATTCTTCGGATTTTCCAAAGAAAACACTTTTTATTTAATTAGCTTAAATGTTTACACATCTTTCAGTACAAATTCTAAACTCAAAAACATTATTTTAGTGGTTTATGCTAAGAAAATAATTAAAATTCTCGATCTATTTATTCCGATTGAATATATTTGTGATTCCCATCACAAGTAAAAGCGTTTGCCATTCGAAATGAAATGAAATACTTTATTAACCAACTACAAGCACCGTTTGCAAGCATACAGTTTTTCCAAAGTTATTTCATTTCAATTATCAAAATGTTTTGATTTCATTTGCAGTTCATTTTATTGTTGTCATGTTGACTTTTAGCGCAGCAATGACATCATTAAAAATGTAAAGGCCGCATAAATATTTGAAAATAGCCCGACACAGTTTCATTCACATACAAATAGTCTGAATCACCGCCTGGGAATGGCCATTAAAAAGGAACCATAAATAAGCTTTTAAACATATACTCTGCATATTTGCCAGATCGATTAATATTAACTATTAAGGCATATCAATTAGCACAACCCTCTTTGCCCTTCGGCACTTGGGAGCAAGTCACACAGATTCAGTTGTAATTTGTTCATACCACACATTCTTACGTGCCACACCCACGACACCCCAACACCCCTACCTCCCCCTATAAGCCACCCTCGAAGGTCACAAAAACAACTCATAGACAAACAACGCAACTTTAGTAACGTACATAAATTCTAGCTTAACTTAGGTATATAAAAAACGCAAACAAAACGAAACAAAAATCGAGAAGAAAATATTCTTTGACTTAGCTTAGCTTTGTAAGCAAAACTGGAAGCGAACTTGCTTAGCAACTTTTGTATCCTAGCAAGTAAGCAAAAAGGAAAACAACAACCGGGAGGAAGGCTATAAAATAAAACTTTATTGCAGAGCGAGAGCCACATAAAGGCATAAGGACCGCCTTTCCTGAAAATTCGGTAGATGGAGGCCACCATCTCCGCCTCCATCTCCATCTCCAGCTCCTCCGCTCCGCTGGTCATTTTAAGTTTGTTTTAGGGGTTGGACTCTGCGGCAGCTGTTAAAATTTGTAGTATATTACATTGAAAGTATTGCGCAAATCGGTGAATATGTCTATCTATCATGTATCGCCTGCAGATGGTCCAGCTGTGGTGCGCGTCAACATATTCGTTAGGAGTATATCGAAAATCGATGATGTAACCATGGTAAGTCGGCGCATCCGCAGCCAATCAAATCCACATTAAAACCCGATAGAAATTCAGACCCCTTTGGATGTCCAAGTCGTAGCCCCGGTTCAGTAGGTTCTCAAAATCCCTGAAATGAACTGTTGACCCCGTTCTCTGTGTGCGATAGGGCTGTGTTCTGATCCTTCACTCGATTCTCTGCTGCTAGGGATCGGAAAGTAACCAAGACACTCGAAATGATACTAACTCTATATGTATAAACATGGAATATATTATATATGCTAACGTACAACTCTTTATCTGATATTGGTACCTATAATACATACACTTTGTTTGAATATCGATGTGATATGATTTGGTATTTGAGTTGTATGATTTATGATTTGGGTTTTTAGAAAACAAAATTGCTCAATTGGTTGGATTTTCGGTTGAGAACTGCATTAAATTAGATTTCTTCGTTTGTAAGTTTGCATTGGTAACTTGAATTAACTCACTGCATTTTTCTTTTTTTCTCATATTAACAAACTGTAAGATAAGCCATTCGGTTTGCTGTTTTGTAGACACCAAAAGAAATACAAAACATTGTGAAAAAATGTCTTTTTGGATCTCTTTCCCACTCAGTCTCTGTCTCTCTTTCTCTCACAGCCTCGCCTATACCTTTGTTTCGAAACATAAAATAACCAAACTTAGTTAAATTTCCTAACTTCTTTATCTCTGTCTCTCTATCTAACTATCTGTATAAATTTATGAATTTACATTAATAACTATTAATTAACTAATCAAGCTCATTACGAATTATTTATAACTATGATGAGTGTTGGATTTAGCCTCGGTCTAATAATTATATACAAATTTAATTTTATTATGACATTTGCTTATTAACAAAAATTATCTGTGACATGAAAAATGTTCTTTAATTTATGCTACTCTATGTACTTAGTGAAACAATAAATTCGATTGTGAACTGTTAATTTTAATCGTGTGCTTTGTATGTGTGTCCCCAACTATGGTTTCCCAACCCAAATCCCAAAAAGAAAAACCATTTTCGCCCAATAAAAAATCGTTTCGCCATTTGAAGATGGTCCTTTTATTTTACTTCCTTCAAAAAACACAACGCTTACATGGAAATTACCAGACGCTTTTAGATTTGGCATCAAAATTTAATTAATCCGTTCTAGCCGACAGGAGCAAAACTAATTGAAAATGTGTGGCATGCAATTTTCAAAAAGTATTTTCAGTAAGAGTATGACACAAATAAAGGAAGAAATACGTACACACGATTGGCAAAATAACTAAATACATTTTCAGAGCTTAGACGACACAACTATCGATATTGAACAGAAATAAACTGAAACAAGAACCAATTTCATTCTTCAATGAGATCCATGCAGACATTTTCTCTATGCATTGATTCGCATTTCAACTTGTGTTCTCGTATATTTTAAATTCTCGTTTATGTTCTTAATGTAACAACATACATTTCGCTCACACATGAAATTCATCAAAAATTTTTAACTTAAGAGAGCATATCCTAATTTAGTTAGTCAGTAAGTGAGCCTAGATTAAGGAAAATTCGGCGTAAGGATTTCGGAAAAGTGAGAAAAATGAGAAAAATGAGAGATGTGCAGAACCAATTTTTATATGATGATTGATTCTAGATAATAAGGCCACCAATGTGTCGGTGAACATGTTCCTGCGCTCCATATCGAAAATCGACGACTACAAAATGGTGAGTCCTGGATCAAGCACAGCAAAAAGCAAAAAGCAAAACGCAAAAAGCAAAAAGCACACTACTACTACGACCACTCCAACTACCACAGATACAAACGATTAAGTCCCCAGCGCTTACTCTCACTTTGCTCTAATTGTGCGTGCGTGTGTGTGTCTACAAAAGTTAATCCAGTAATTTGGGCCTATTAAATAATTGCATTAATAATACATACGTGTCCTTCGGTGTGTCTGTGTGGGCGTAACTGGGTGTAAAATACATTAGTCGAGTTGCGACGATTCGTCGGGTTTGTGTCAGTGGAATCTGTAAATTTTCTTTGTACCTGCAAGCTGTACTACTAAGCAAGCTGGATATGTTAACAATACCAATGTACTGTATCATACAATATATACACAAATACTCCCTGTGCCCAAATTGTATAAACGAATACTTATATTATTTTGCCTCCTATTTTCTCCTGATTTTCGAACTCGAGAGCAAAACCTGCTTAAAGCTTTGTCTCCACCGCCAGGCGACCCCGAAACCACGATTCTATGAACTAAGTTTTAGATGTAACTTAGGCTAGACTTAAGCTTTAGGTCGGAACCACCGCACGACATAAACAGACGCTCACAACCACCAGCATTGAACCACCGACATTGAAGCCACACAAATGCCGCCCACACCACCGCTCATTCAGTTCAGTTCTGTTCCGTTCGATTCGATTCGGTTCGGTTCAGTTCGGTTCGGTTCTTTCACTTGCCTTCATCATTTTAAGCCACCTTGTTCCAGCCAGCCAGTTTGGGCCCAATAAGACCAATTGAAAATGCTTACCACACACACTAATAAAACGAGAGTGCTGCAACTCCGTTTAGGTACTGCGATAGGGCTAACTGTAAGTACACACTAGGAGCTATCATGCCAGTGCCGATAGGGGAAAAACTAATGAAAAGCCAAGGAAAAACGAAACGGGAAAACCATTTACAATCTCCATTTGTCCAGCTCGGTTTCCGCTGTCAGGAAAAAAGCTGGTAAAAAGCGGACAGCTCCGAGCACAAAAAACCGCAGCACATTTAATTTGCATAAAAGAAACGAGTCATAAATAAAAAGCAATTATTTGTAATAATTATTCAAATTTATTTGTTTTCACTCTGCTTAATTGGCAAGTGTTTACAATAACATTTCCCCTCTCTGGGATTCATTAAATCACGAGTAAAGTATTGTACAACATGTTGGCCAACTAACATAACAGCGATTTTAGTTGGATTTAGTTGATCTTTTAATTAAATCCCATTTACTTTTTCCAAATCCCATCTCTTGTGGAATGGCATGAGTGTTACCCAACTACTAGTCGGTTTTGTAAGCATGCAATTTAGCGATTTCTTAGTTGACTAATATTAATTAAAACAGGGTTTAAAATGGCAGCCAGAAGCTGAGCTATTGGAAGCCAATTGATAAGGCGTTTCAACTCGTATTATTTTGCTGAATATATATACATATTTTAAGGAATATATATATGTATTTGGCACACCATTTTCCATCAGTTCTCAGAGCACTACTAAGATACTTTTAAGTTAAAACTAAATATGTTTTCAGCTTTTGTTTAAGAGAAAGACCCAAAAAAGTATAAACTCTGAATGTATGTATAAGATGCCTTGCTTTCCACTTTTGCCACTTTTGCCACTTCGCCTGCCTGTTTTGCTTTTGTCTTGACGTGCTTTTTGCCTGATCTTAGCCTGCTTGCCCGTTTTGAAGTTTGAGTGTGCAACACGTCGCATGCGGCATTCGGTTGCATCCTGTGCAGATATGAATTATTTATTAGCCATGACAAACTATACCATCAACCCGAACAATGCCGAGTACAATCTAAACCAGCAGAAGCCCAAGCAAACGACAGTTAACCACCATACTCTCTATATATACGAATATCAATATATACCACTCAGTTATACAAGTAACAACTGCTCGCTCTTTCATACTCCAACAAAAACAATCTCTGCAAAAGTAAAGCTAAATCCCCTCCAAACCAAAAATCAAATTCAATTAAATAAATCGAACTGCAAGCCACCCCATTGAAAAGTCCTCTTAACACACAAGCTAAAAATTGAGAAGAAAAGAAAACCCGAAAGAAACTCCCTTTTCAATTCGACAAAGAGAAATTTGCATTGTAGTTCAGATTGAATTCCCGCAAAGCCCCCAATTTAATTCGTCTACTAATGAGAATTTTCCCCTGGCCATTCCACCACCACCACCACCACCCACCCGCCAATCCGGCCATCCGACGTCCACAGGAGTACAGTGTGCAGTTAACCTTCCGTGAGCAGTGGACGGATGAACGCCTCAAGTTCGACGACATTCAGGGTTAGTTCCACTTCCACTTCACCCAACTCTGGGGAGTTCTTCAGTGCCTAACCCACATCCACTTCCAGGTCGCCTCAAATATCTGACCCTGACGGAGGCGAACCGCGTGTGGATGCCCGATCTGTTCTTCTCGAACGAGAAGGAGGGCCACTTCCACAACATCATCATGCCCAATGTGTATATTCGCATCTTCCCCAACGGCTCCGTGCTTTATAGTATACGTATCTCGCTGACATTGGCCTGTCCAATGAACCTGAAGCTGTATCCGCTGGATAGACAGATCTGCTCACTGCGGATGGCCAGCTGTAAGTGGCATCAATGTATCTCAGAATCCATTATAAGTTGCAGAAGAGATAACAAATACTTGGAGCATTCCAAAAATGTATTGTAATAATGTATTAATTATTCATAATTGCAGACGGCTGGACCACCAACGACTTGGTCTTCCTGTGGAAGGAGGGCGATCCCGTGCAGGTGGTGAAGAACTTACACCTACCTCGCTTCACGCTGGAGAAGTTTCTGACTGATTACTGCAACAGTAAAACCAACACCGGTACGTGGGCTCTGAATGCGTGTTGCACAGTGTTCCTTGTGTACGAGGCGCTTCTGCCACATTTCAATATTAACCTAACTATTCTCCTAGTACGCCCACTCGTTTTCCTCGCTGCGTTGCGTATTTTGTTTGCATTTGTAATAAGTGTTCCCTTGAGATTGCATGCCAAGTGGTTAAGCTTTAGCTCCAATCATGGCGTAAACGCTGGGTCCCAACTGGAAAATATTATAAGCGGACCCATAACCACTTCATAGCAAGCACACCCACACACCCATACAACCCACCACCATCACCCACACACTGCCATGTATATATAGACGTAGCGACTTTCATAAGATGCCGTTCACACATGCGCCATTTCAATGAGCATATCGTTTTGGGCCGTTATCAATGCCCGAAACGCATAGAGCCAACTTTTTACGATGTAATTCGCACACTCGCACACACGTGTCTCTGCACAAGCGCGTATCTGTGTGTATATAAGCCCCACACCACCAGGCGGATCGTTTACCTTGCCGTTTTTTATGGGCACTTGGAAATCTGCGCGCGCTCTAAGTAAATGTTTACCTTGGCGAACAACTATTCGGTGGAGGACGAGGGACGCCCCATCGAATGCGAAACGGAAAATGAAGGCAAGAATGGCAAAAGCCGTACGGAAAGCAAATTAATCGAGGAAATTGTCTGCGACGTTGTTTAAACTTGCACAAAGACGCTGGCTGCGCCGAAGATGATGATGATGTGAATGTAGATACAGCTGACGAAGTGGAAGTGGCAGTGGCAGTGGCAGTAGGAATGGAGGCAAACAGAGGGCCAGATTTTTCCACAAGTTGGCAAATTGTGTGTCAGCATATTAGGATAGTTTACGGCAGCCAGAGCAAACAGAACCGCGTATTTGTCCAGGGGAGAAGCTCCACCTGAATGCAACCAAAACCCGCTGACACCAAGTTTGTTTGTTCACAAATTAGCGAACGGAAGGGCCATCATCCCCATCATCCATCCACAAATAAGTTAGCATGAGCCTGAACTTCATCCTTCCCGACTCAAAAATTAAAACCAAATACCAAAAATCATACTCATTTTAGCTCAACTATATTTAATCTCAACTAAATATGACTTTTTCCACCTAGACGTTGCGTAGTTGTTGCATTTAGATCTCTCGCCTTGAACTTAGTTGCTCACCTAAAGTTTATTAATTTCATATCTTCTATGAGCGTTGAACGTTGAACGGACTTAAAGAGCTCAAGAGTCGAATGCGAATCTCGGCCAAGAGAAAGAGTCATCGCTTGATTGATGATGGCCAGTTGCGGAGCCAATGGCAAAAGCAAAAGCAAAAGCAAAAGCAAAAGCAAAGCAAAAGCCGCAGTGCGATTTGCTCCAGCTGCGAGTTGCGGAAACCGTAGTCCAGACCCAGATTCAGACCCAGATTCAAAGACCCAGACCCAAAACCCAGACCAAAGAGCCGAGCAAATAAACCACACACGCAGCACTTAAATGCAAACAGGGCGTATGAGTGCCGCTCCTCACAGGCAGACACTGAGAGAAATTTTGACGGCAAATCGACGAAAATCTAAAAATGAGAACCAACCAAAAGCAAAATATGAGAATGTAAAATTATAAACAACTTTGTCTTGAAGAGTATGGAACGCTTTGCCAACAAATTAACGGAAATGAAGCACAAGAAAGGGGCGTGGCCCGTCGCAGGCGCGGGGGCGGTTTCGGTGGCGGGGGCGTGGCAGCAGCGACTGCCGACCGGAAGCGCACGGAATGAAAATCAGAACCTACAACAAGAACCAGCACACAAAAGCCGTCGAACTTCATTTCCGTTAAGATTTTTGTTGCAAAAGTCAGAAATTGAATTCATGTTGATACTTTTTGCCTATGATGCAATTTTTCATTTGATTTTATAATTTTCCACTGTCTGTGTGCCAGCCACCTCCCCCACTGACTTTTCATTTTTGTTTTCCTGTAAATACATTACGTCTTCAGACACCCACTCCCACCCACTTTGTATGATATGTTTTACCCAATTTTCGGTTTTTATCCCCTTTGTTTCGGAAAACCCACTTTTTGTACATACCCGAAAGGTCTCGGCCCGAACAAAAATCGTCTGTAAATGTGTTTTAATTTCTTTTCTTGGCAAAATTTCTGAGCAAGACACCTTTTATGTTCACTACTTATTGGATGGCATTTCTCTGTACCTTGTATTGGATATCTATCTGTGTGTATATACCTACTAAAACTGTGTGTGCGTGAAATTTAAGCAAACGAAAGCCAAAAGCTGCAAACGATACCTCTCTTTGACATCCTCCCGTACATTTTGAGTTTGACACATTTTATATACCTTGTATACTCATAGGTGAATACAGTTGCCTCAAAGTCGATCTACTATTCAAGCGAGAATTCTCATATTACTTAATACAAATTTATATACCATGCTGTATGTTGGTCATTGTATCATGGGTATCATTCTGGCTGGATCAAGGAGCAGTGCCGGCGCGTGTTTCACTGGGTAAGTCTGAGCTTCAAATATGTGTTTTGGTATTTACTTAATATTTACTTGGCTATTTTATAACCATGACTAAAGCATAACTGCAAGCAAAACAGATCTGTTGTAGGCAATACTGTTCCTGTTTCCTTTGCTGTTCGAAAATTACAATTTAAAATGAAGGAAATAATACTAACTTCAATCAGCTTAAGAATACGAATTTTGCATTGCAGAAGAAAATAAAAGATCACTTGAAGTAACACAAAATCGCATTTAAGAAAGCCTATTTATTTGCCTAAAGCAAATACTTTAGAATAATATTAAACGTATGATTCATGCACGCTTTCAGAATGATAATGATGAAATTCTTTTTGAGCTGATCCAAGAATTCACTTCAGTGATGAAATAGTGAAGTATAAGTAAATATTTGGAAACGTAATATTTCTTAGATGCAATATATCCTCCAATGTTAAGCTGCTGCTAGTCCTCCGACTAGATCTCCAACTGTTGGCCACCACTCAGCACCTCCCCCTTTGCAGGTGTCACCACCCTGCTGACCATGGCCACCCAGACGTCGGGCATCAACGCCTCCCTGCCGCCCGTTTCCTATACGAAGGCCATCGATGTGTGGACAGGCGTGTGTCTGACGTTCGTGTTCGGGGCCCTGCTCGAGTTCGCCCTGGTGAACTATGCATCCCGATCAGGTTCGAATAAAGCTAGTAATTGAACTTTTATATGCTTCTTAACCACGTATAAATGTTAATTAATCGATGGTGTTTATCTTTTTTCTGTTGTTTTATTGTACTGAGTGATATCGAATATACTATACGTACATATCTATAGTACCACATGTAAATGTCTACGCATACTGTACATACAACAACTCCGATACTCAGAACCAACGTTACACTCTCAGTTTCTCACACACACACGAGTACTCACTGTGGACCGTTATATCAGAACACTCACACACGCAGGACCGGCGTGGCTCACACAACAACAACAAGAACTACAACCAGTCTCGGGCTATATATCTATCGAAAATCGAATATATCCATATAGAGTACTCCCAGCGTACTTGTCTATAAGTCCGAGCGAAAGCCCAACGATTTAGCCGTAGTGTTTTTGATCGACTTTTTCCCTTATTTACTTTTCACTTTGATATCTAACCACAAAATGGGTCCATCGTGTGTATCAAACTAATCCAACTTTTTGTTTTACTCTCTTATTTCATTGTGCGCCAACCATTCATCGACATGCATACGAACTCACACATGCACAATCCGCAAACTACACACACACGCACATGCACACCCACACGCAAACACCAATACCAATACCGATACCCACGAACCACGAACTTTAAACGCGTTTGAAAAAACACAAACCGAAAATTGTAAACAAATTGGTCGAATTTCCTGTCGAATTATACGATTTGTTCGGTTCCTTGCTGTTGTATAACAAATGCTTGTAAATAACTACAAACTGTGTGTATATCCACCGATCTTTGTGGTAATCGAACTATGATTTGCGTACCCCGACCTCGTCGATATAATTGCACCCGATTAAATGTTTGGTTTTAATTTGTATTCTTTCGTTTGTTAAACATTTCGAATTGTTTAACGTTTTCTGTATGTGTGACTCTCTTTCTGTCTTTCTCTTTCTGACTGTCTCTATCTCTGTCTCGCCTAACACTATCGCTGTCTAACTGTATTAACCGTGTTTTACCTGTGCATCCCAACTAACACACCCAAAAAAACCTGTAAAAATGCAACAAAATCCAAAAACCACCCAACTGCCGTGGAACAAATAAATTCTTGTCAAACATCTTTCATCACATGCAACATATATCTATGATATATACGGATCGGGCCGCAGACATGCATAAGGAGAATATGAAAAAGAAGCGCCGCGATCTGGAGCAGGCCAGTTTAGATGCCGCTTCAGATCTGCTAGATACAGATAGCAATGCAACGTTCGCAATGGTACTTACCTCTTGATATATCTCTTTGAACTCCAAACAGCTTATGGTTTATTGGGGATTGGGGATCTGACTAAGCGCATTTTTAATTTCGCATTTATATTTTGGATCTGAGGGGGGGCCTTCTCCGAAGGTTGTACTTCTTGCTTTCAAAAACAAACTGAAAACTATAATTGGCCTAATCAAAATTGTTATGATAAAACTATTAAAACAACTATTTCCTTTTATATTTGCCTCCTTTTTATTACCACACAACAAAACCAAAACCAAAACCAAAAACAAATGCCAAATTCAACAACTTTTTTCAAACGTGCTCATCCCAACTACAACTACAACCACACCTCTACATCAACAACCAACCACAACCAAACTCAAAAAACTGAAACTGCAAACAAAAAAAAAACAAAACCGAAAACCAAAAACCAAAAACAACAACCTACCTCCCACCAACCATCAACGAACATCGCTCGCTGGCAACCAAAACAAACCACTCGACCGGAATCGAATTGAAAAACTGCGACGAAATTAAATCAAATTACGCACATGCCAATGCACTTGCCCCACCCAAATCACCGAACCACCGATACATCGAACCACCGATCCAAACCACCAACCCCACCACCTGCGACCCTCATTTACATCCGACTACAATCGCAACTTTCATGTCAAACGGCGTCGCAATTTGCGCGCGGTGGTGGCCAACAGAAGCCGCTAGTACGCCACCCAGGCGATCCGCTGGCCCTGGAGAAGCGGCTCCAGTGCGAGGTGCACATGCAGGCCCCGAAGCGCCCCAACTGCTGCAAGACCTGGCTGTCCAAGTTCCCCACAAGGTAACGCACGGGATCGAGGATCCCGAACCACTCGATCCTACCAAGTAGCGACCTGTTTAGTTCCATTGTGTTCCGTAGTAGTTGATGGATTTACTTTTTGATGTTGTGAACATGTACTATTCTACTCTTTGTATCTCTTTCACTAACTCTTGTTGACTTTTTGCTATCACATAACTCTAACTCAACTCAACTCAACTCAACTCAACTCAACAGTCATTGACAATACCTGTGAAAGATACCGATACCGAAACCGAAACCGAAACCAAACCCGATATCTGCCGCTTGCTTGCCGTTCGTTCGATTCTGTTTGCCCGCTGTCTTTTGTTGCCAAATCAAAGTGCTCAGATCAAATCGAGTAATGCGAATGATAATGACGTGGTTTAATGCTTGCTGAACTGAGCCAAGTATATGTGAACTGTAATTGAATTTCGACTTCTGTGTTTTTAATTGAGTCCGATCAGTCGAGCGGACGTTCGATGGAATTATGCTTTGCCTTTCTGTCATTTTAAGTGCGATTTGTTTGTTTTAAAACTCGTATTTAGTTGTAGATCTTGAGATTCGAGCTCCCAATATCCTGGCATCCTGGCATCCCGGCATCCTGGACCCACCAGCTCTCCCCATGTAGATATTAATCCCCAGAAAGCGCACTTTTCGTTTCCAGCACGTAGTTCTACCAGCCCGTTTACCCTTTTAAAACAAACAAATTACTTGCCAAATTTGGAAACTTTTCAAAACGATATCGAATAAAAAGAATAACCAATCAAGTAATCACAAAAATCAAAAAGCCAATCTTTAGATGATCAATTAATTTGCATTTTCGTACTTGTTTAATATCCAAAGACAATGTTCTAGATCCAAGAGAATCGATGTTATATCGCGGATCACCTTCCCGCTGGTCTTCGCCCTGTTCAACCTGGTCTACTGGAGCACATATCTCTTCAGGGAGGAGGAGGATGAGTAAATGCCGTTACCTATTGCCAAACACCAATTACTTTATAGAAGGGTTGGCGCTATTGGCCAACACGAATGTACTAACCTATTTCTTTCATTCTTTTCCATTTCGGTTGTCTTCATTTCATGCTTTGTGTTGCTTATGGCTTTGTTGGCTTCATTTCCGATTTGGTTGATTTCTTGACACCTTGATTGACTCCTTGATTGACACCTTGCTTGAATGGTTCAAACCACTAAAGGACCTTCTAAGGCGCGTCTCTGAAATGCGGTGGCTATGTAGAATCTAATACGAAATTAACTAATTATACCGAGGGATACGTTGCCACGTGCTACATTTATGGTTATGTCTCGGAACAGTGCAGATAAGTTAAGAACGGTATCCGGCAAGGCTCCATGGCACTTCCACTAAACAAGTAAAAGAAAAAAAAATGATGAATGACGAATGACGAAATTCTAGTTAATTGTAAGTTAAATTGATCAAGAGTGACTGCATAGTAGATAATGTTATGAATAATTATACTATACACAAACGACACACACCGCAACACTTGTTTGACTTGATTTGTTTTGAGGATGCTCCAAATTGTTACAAATTGATGAATTATTTTAGCTGGTTATCGACGACGATAATCAGGTCTTGTTCCGGACTCTAGCTTAGTTCTAAACAAAATTGCAATTGATTTGTACTTAAATGCGTTAAGTTAGTTAAGCCGCAAACAGCGAGAGGAGGTCGTAGAAAATTCGACTTTTGTAAATATGTCATACAATAAGTTTTAAGCGAACTAGTTTATATGAATTCTAATTGTAAAAATCGTGTAGATACATTTAAGTTTAGTCGATAAACAAACCACTAACCGAAGCGAGATACCTAGGTAAAATCAATTTAATTATGTTCACCATCGAAGTAAATAAAAATCGAATCGAAAATATCAAAGAATCCTTCAAAACACACAGAAACAAATACAGTACTTTCTTTTTGCATTTTTTGCCCAATCTACTCTTAAATGATAAGTTCAACTGAAACTGGTGGGTATCTGCAAGGTATTTCTACCCGAACTTTATTAGAAACTTTCTTCTTCATTTATATACGTACGGCTTGCTATTCGTTTTAGAGTTGAATTTTTATTGTAGTTAACTTGTTCTGGTACTCACGGGAAGTAAAGCCCTCGAACTCCGATTGCTTTTTATTTTGGATCCCTAGATTATTATACTATATTTACATTTACCTAATTATGTATTGGGGCCAAGTGCCGCTTAGCTAGTTAATTTCCTTAATTAGACTTACAATATTAAAATATACATGCAAACATGCAAACCATAAACCAATTAACTGACAATACAAATATTTTATCATGTAGTCAAGTCCCTAAACAACTTAATGGATACTACACATAAATTTATCGAAATCAGTATTATAAGACATAAATTAGATCGAGATATATACGGTTCTTTCCATATCCAAAAATATCTTTGGTTATTTAAGTGCCTTTTGTATGCCAAGGAGATTTCTCCCCACTTTCTTCCTTTCTCCAACTCTCTCTCTCTCTCTCACTCTCTCTTTCTTCCGATCTTTTGAATGACTCCGATCCTTTCACACTAAAATCCATTCCCAAACTCAATTAGATGCACTAACCGACACCATAAACTATGCAGCTCTAATTTTAGAATTATAACTAAAGCGAATTCTACATAGCAACAACAGAAACAGAAACAGAACCAGAACCAGAACCAGAACCACAATAACAACTTAAATACTTGAGATAAATCGAATAAAATATTTCAGTAGATTTTTAATATTTTATTAACTTGAGCCTGTTTTATTCACATGTTTTCTTAAACTTTTGCTTTGGTTACGGAAATGCTTTTCGTTTGCTATCATTTCAAATCTAAAGGTAAGAAACTAAACGTAAAAGGAAATCAAAAATCAATTGAAATTTATTCTAATATATAGACACTACACAAGGCACCCTGCATAATAATTGTTGTCATTAAACAAGCGTCATAAGTACGATCAGAACATATAGAAAAAACGAAAACCGAAATATTTATAGATACTTTCATGTTGTAAAAGTTGTGCCAAGCAAAGACGAAACCAAAAACTAGTCAAAGAACGAAAATCGATCGAGATCGCGAATTATAACTATAACTCTAGCTATAGTTGTATTGTATATGAAGCTATTGAACATACAGGGTTTTTAAATGTGAGCATATAGTTGATGAGCCAGCTGAAGGTCGGCAAAATCGAACAAAATTGATGGCAGCCGGAAACGGAAACGTAAAACGGATGGCTGATTGATTGAAATCCGTTGATTGCTGTACGATGTACTAGATGAAAAATAATCATGACGTTGGAAAAACAATTAAACTAGGTCATACACAATGGGCGGGCGAAACACCGTTTTCGGCATTTATTTTTAGTGAAAAAGGAAACATACTTAGGTTGTGTGCTGCTCTTCATTTGCCGTTCTCCAATTCGGTCAATTATCATTTTTCCGGCAAATCGTTTAGCAGCGGCAGTCCAGTTCAGTGTAAATAGTTTGGATCAGAACATGTAAATGTCATTCAAAGGCTAGGTTAACGAGAAACACAACTACGGGAAAACGTAACACGAAATGTGCACAACTTTATATATAGATGCGTTCCAAAAAGACTTACAGGTTTTGATTAACAGACGAGCATAGAGATTGAATCATTTACCAATGCGATGTAAACACGAAAACAAAGAACTATGCGAACGAGTAGATCCTAAGTTAACGTATGTGTAGATCTTAAGAGGCAGTTCGAAACCAGACTAGCTAAAGCATGCACATAACTAAGCTACTAAGCGCCACGGCAAATTGCATTCACCACCCACTATCCGAACTCACTTACCACTCACTTGCCACTCACACCACTCACTTGATGTTTAATCTTTGCTAACCACACGAAGGAAATCAAAAACGTCACTCAAATCGAAGCGAACACGAAAACGAATCTAATCTTTGCACAGTTGGTCGGGGACAGACGAGTTTGAGTATTGCAAGTAAAAATTTAGATAGATCATAACACATATCTTCCAAAATGGGGGCGGCTCGAGGCCCATTGATAACAATCAAGCAACTCAAACTATAATTTCTAGAGAAGAAGTGTAAATATACGAGCGCATACAGCCGAATCATTCGAATCGAAGTTACGATCGATCGATGGCGATCGAGGAGCGAATCAATAAACACTGCAAATCACCTTACTTTATAGAGCTAAGTCAGGACAGGCACACAGTACACCAGCCCCAAAAAAGCCCCAAAAAAGCCCCAAAAACACGATCCCCGACAGGAGAGGACTTAGCAAAGATCACACTCACACGTTAGCCTGTAAGACATAATCGATTCGAAAGGAAAGATCGCATGAATTTCCCTGTAGTCAATCCAATACTGGAACATAACCCAAGCCCAGAAAGAAACAACGCCAAAACCACAAACGAAATAAATTCTAAAAGTACATAAATACATATAGACCCGGCAAAAACACATCAATGCCGTCGGTGGGAAATTAAAACAGCAAATCAAATGCCTAAGTGAAAGATTAGTAGCGTAATTTTACAGTATAGTTGAAATAATTGTTGTCACCCGAAAGGAAGGAATCCTAGAATGGAAACCAGGATAAAACGAAATAATTGTGTAAAACCCCAGAATAATGATGTTTGTGAAATGTTTATAAATAAATGATGCAAAACGAAATGAAAGAATACACAAACACGCAATGCTTTATCTTCTATGGTATTTCTAATGGTAGTTTATTATTCCTCAAAAACTGAAAACAGTGGTTAGCATTGGATAATGCTGGAAATGCCCAATTAAACGTAGTCACAATTTCTTATCATGGCCAAGCAATTGGTACCAATAATTTGGTATTGCAAATTAAAATTCTCAAGGAAATTAATTTATCTTAAACAATGTCCTATTTTTGCTCCTTATTTTATTTTAACCAACTGCTGGCAGTGGTATACACTGTACAAAAAAAGCAAAAACCCTTCAGCTCCTATTCTTTACATGCAAGAAGTGGGCCTTGTTGGCCATTCGGTTGGTCTTTCCATTGGCACTCCGCTGCAGGTCCCCCACAATGACGGCTCCTCCGTTCAACTGCTTGTACTTGGAATCAGTCCGAGAACTCACGTAGGCCACCACATCCTGGGCCTCCAGCTCAGTGCCCAGTTTCTTAACGACAGAAGCTGCAGCTTCGTCCCCAAAGGTGTTGCTCCATATCCCGAAGACACAGACCTCGGCGACCTGCGGCATCTCCGAGATGACGCTTTCTATATCGTTGGGATAGTACATGATGTTCTGGTACTTCAGCATATCCTTCTTGCGGTCCACAATGTACAGGAAGCCATCCCGATCCATGTACCCAAGGTCGCCGGAGTGATACCACTGCTGGGAATCTCGCATGGAACTGGTCTCAGCTTCGTTTCCGTAGTATCCCGACCAGTGCTGGTTGTTCTTGATGCACACCTCTCCAACCTCGTCCGGTCCCAGCGAGACGCCCTCATCATTGATAATCTTCAGCTTCAGCCCATTGACCAATCGACCCACCGATCCGGCTTTCTCGTCGAAATGAGTGTTGATGGCGGCTATTGCGCCGAGCTCGGTAAATCCATAGGCAAACTGCAGGCAATCATGGCTTAGACGGCTCCGGATGGCTTTCTGAACCTCCAACGCAGCCCGGGATCCGCCGAACAAGAAGCACTGGAGGCTCGACAGATCGCGGGTTTCAAAATCTGGGCAGTTTATCATTAGAGCCATGGCGGATGGTGTCTGTATGGTCCAGGTCACCTTGTACTCCTCGATGATTCGCATGGCAAAGGCGGGATCGAAGGCATTATCCGCGATGATGCGGGTAGCGCTGAACACTCCGGAGTGTATGGTGATATACAAGCCGGTGATCCAGTCAAGGGTGTTGTGGGAGTACTGAATATCAGCGGTGGTCAGCTGACTGGAGGTACAAAATAAAAGAAAATAATTCTTCAAGGATTATGTTTAGAATAATAACTTACTAGATGCTGGTGAGGATGTGCCGACTGTTGGTTATGGTCACAGCCTTTGGAGTTCCAGTTGTTCCCGAAGAGCACAGAATGGCCAAAGTCTGATCGTTGCCCTGTTCCAGCTTCGCTGGCTGGAAGTTTCTCTCGATGGGCGTGGCCAAAACCTCTTCGATCTTTATGGAATCCAACGGATGGTTGCGCATGGTGACAATCTTAACGTCCAGTTTGGCCGTCGCAGATCGCACCTTCTCAAACTCATCTCCATCGCAGAAAATAATGCAAGGCCTTGTGAGCTTGTAGATCTTTTCGATCGTATCGCAATCGTACATAATGTTCAGCGAGTGAAAAGCTATTCCGTTGAAGAAACAGGCGTAGGCCACGGCAGGCATGTGGGTGGTGTTCCGGCCTATAATGCCCACTATGTCGGATTGACGCAGTCCCTCCGATCGCATAAAGCTGGCCACGCGCATGGCATTGGCCAGGAGCTCCTCTCTGGTCAGCAACGTGCCCTCCGTAGCAGAGATCTAGAAGATACCAGGTTCAATCACCTGTTTAGTAGGTGTCCCTGGAAGTACTCACCTGGGCAGTGAGCTGCGGATGCCGCCGCATCTCGTGGAAAATGATCTCCCCGATGGACAAGTCCGGGTCGAAGTTTTCTTTAACCGGCTCACCACTCCAGATCTTTTGGTCATTATCGTAGGAATTCACTGGGGTGTACGGCATTCTTTTTAGGCAACAAACTTTGTGTGTCAAATGAAGTTAGATTTCAACTGCATCTGCTCTGCAACAAGGCTCCCTATTTATAGTCACAGCCGTCCAATAGCTTATCACACTTAGATAAAATGTTCAGGTGGCAGAGTAAATAGAAAGACAAGCACAATAATAACATATTATAATAACATCAAATTAAAGATAACGGGTTTGGCTACGGAAGATCAACCAGATTTTTAGATGTCTGGCGACAACCAGCAGTACAACCTGTTCGATCTAATGTCGGTAATCAACTTATTTAACCAAACCTAGCTTTGTTTTGATAGAATCATTCAATTGTTTATTTCTGGTGAGATTATAAAATCGTGGCAATTTTACGATATCTACACCCACGTCTCTATTATCCATCTACGTAATACAAGTCATGGGGCTTGTTGTTTTGATGGTAACTTCTTTGTCAGATGCTTATCACTAAATCCCACGAAGAGATTTCATTACATATCAGCTTAACATTCTGTCTTATCATCGCTGTTCTTTGGCCCCCTCGAGTTTATGGGAAATCATTCTGCGTTAGCGAAACTTGTTCCGATCTGCCTGAGAATATCTGACTGAGATCACTCTTATCTTTGATTACATGGTGATTGCGAACCACGTCGTTTTCCATCTTAATGTTGGGCGTTTGCGCATTAAAGGGCTTTACTTGTGTATTTTTACGGGTGTGTTTAAAATAAATAATAAATAAATTAACTAACATTTTATGTTAGTGATTTGACTACGTTTCTTACAATTTTATGGACCTCCGAATCCGCTTTAGTGAGCGTGGAAGGCATTAAAGGATTGATAGGCACTAAAGTCATCTGAATTATGGCAAACTTTTTATAGCAAGCCCAAGTGCTATACGGCACTTTAAAAATGGGCGCCGCGAATGTAAAATAAATAGCCGGCTTCTAATACCGTTGAGTTGATAAACATTTTTTACTTGGCATTGTTTATTGAATAGATCCAAGATGAAAGATCCATGCCAGGAAAGTCATATAAAATAAAGCATAAGTTAAAATCTAAATGTAATTACATATTGCTTAATTCAGTATGGGAGATATCATATTACCCAAGTACATGTCATGTAGATATACACGCTTACACCCTGAAATTTGTATCTATTTAGACGTAGATAACGCCATGTAGATATCTCTACACGCTTATAACATGTAATTTACATCTATTTAGACGTGTAACATGTCATGTACATTTATTTACACCCATATGACATTTCATGTAGATCTATTTAGACGTTGATAACAAGTCATGTAAACATACTTAGGCATTTCATGAATTTATCTGTACTAGTTCTGAAAATAGGTAAGTAGGGGCGAATCAAGAAAAACTTTCCAGCCGTTAAATAGCTTAAATCAAAGTATTTTAAAAATATGCTGAATATTAAAACGTTTATTAATTCGCAAGCTACCTTTTTCTGAAAATTTGTGAGCTCGTTGTTCTTATCATAGGTGGGCAGCGTAGTGTATACGAGTTTCCACCTCTAATATAGTTTTTTAACAAACACGAGACTTCCCACTTAACATTTTCAAGTACTTTTCCATTTTGAATTTGTTGATCTTAAAAGACCTTACTTAATATCAAATAACGGCAGTCGAAAGCAATTTGATAATCTGTTTCGGCAAACGGTTTTCCTCGCTGATATCGTGTCAAGAGAACAGCTTGGCAATCAATAGGTAAAATTAAATATCCGGACACTTTAACTGCTAAATTGCCGGCTAATTCTTCCACTTTCGTGACTTTTAAATAGACCTGGCAGGCGAGTATGCAGCAGCAATAAGCCGCGCGTGCATCACGATGTTGGACCTCAATGGCAATCCGGCGACCAGCTATGATCCCGAGCAAAAGGTCTGGAGCGGCCGCAGCCTGCAGAGTCTCTACAACGAGGAGCTGACCGTGGGCCAGATCATCTTCCGGCAGCTGCAGCGGCAGCCGCAGAGGATATTCCAGATCTCCCACACGGAAAATACCCGGCTAACGCGCCACCAGATGCTTCAAAATGCCAGCAAGATTGGTTGCTATCTGCGGGATAAGTGCTTTAAGAAGGAGACCGACTTGGTGGGACTCATGGCACGGAACTCCACGCATGTGGCTGCCCTGGCCTACGGCTGCTTGTTCAACGGAACTCCGTTTCACGCCGTTAACCCCAATCTGGAGCACGCTACGATCGCCAGTCTCTACAAGATCACCAGGCCACGCATACTGTGCTGCGACATGGCGGACTACGAAAAGATCAAGGACATAGCAGCCTCGCTGGGGGCTCTGATCATCACCGTTAATGGACAGCTGCCAGGTGTAGTGAGTGTTGCGGATCTGCTGCAGAATGCCCTTCCCGACGACTATGAGCCCGCCCGGTTCCAGCGGGGTGTCGACCGCACCATGGCCATTCTCTGCTCCTCGGGCACCACCGGCACGCCCAAGGCGGTTACCCTCTCGAACAGCCGCAAGTTATTTGAGATGCACAGGTATACTGCCAATTACCAACTAACCATGATAATGCAATGAAACTAACATTCCAGCTATCTGGGATCCGATGATGTTCAGTACGCTCCCAGCACATTGGATTGGCTGACAGGACTCGTTACCCTGGTCACAGCCGCAGTATTTGGCACAGTTCGCCTGATTTCCACTGAAATGTTCAGTACAGCACACTTCCTGGACCTTTGTGAGCAGCACGAAGTCTCCTGGACCATCATGGCCAACTCCCATGTGGCCATGTTGGCCAATTGTCCCAAAACCAGTGCTCCAAAACTGAGAAGTCTCAGGCATCTGCTCTTTGCCGGCGGTCATTGCTTGGTGACGACCTTGAAGAAGATGCAGTCCTTCCTACACGGACCGGGTATTCTACGCAATGCCTATGGCTTGACCGAGGTGGGAACACTAATATCCTACAACTATGATACCCAATCCAGGCCCACATCTGTGGGTCGCCTGCTGGCGAACATTCGAGTGAAAGTTGTTGACTCCTCGGGCCAGTCGCAAGGCCCAAAAGGATTGGGCGAAATCCTCTGCCACAACGGGCAGCCCTGGAGCGGCTATGTGGGAAATCCCCAGGCCACCGCCGAGATGCGGGATTCAGCGGGCTGGTACCACACCGGAGATGTTGGGTACTTCGATGAGGAGCACTACCTGCACATCGTTGAGCGCAAGAAGGACATGCTGAAATACCTGGGCATGATGTACTATCCCCACGAAGTGGAGGAGGTGATCGCCCAGATTCCCGACGTGGCAGAGGTTTGTGTTTTTGGCATCTTTCGGGAGACGGAGGGCGATGCCGCCGCCGCCTCTGTGGTGCTGCGGTCCGGCAGCAAGCTGGATCCCCAGCACGTGGAGCAGTATGTGCGGAAGAACATATCCGTGCAGTTCAAACATCTCCACGGCGGCGTCCAGTTCGTTCCGCAGCTGGCGAAGAGCGCCAACGGAAAGGTCAATCGGCAGGCCGTGAAGGCGGCCTACTTGAAAGATGCGCCCCAGTCCTAAGTTCAATTTATAATCGCAACCTTCAGTTAGCCAGCAAGTCACATGACGAGGCTAACTGGAACTTCCTTGGCACTTTAGCATGTTACACCATTGTTGTTATGGCTACGAATGAATAAATATTAGAAAATGATGAGTTCAATACAAGTTAATAGCTTACGTTCCCTTTTATCCAATATTGTTTTTAATAGCACACTTGCTAGCACTGTACTTACGCGAGAAGTAGTTTCTACACTCAGCAGAAACCCACTATTACAGTAGTCTAATAGCGTCATATTTTCTGGCCAAGTATAAGCAAACAAAAATAAAAGGCTTCCATGACAAGGGGAAGGTTCTGATAAGCCCACCTGGTTACAAGAGATACTAGATAATAGCATTGTTACAATAGATACTAAAGCAATGATGTTCATGAAGCGGGAGGCGTTACCTAAACTTCTAATCGATATGCAAATATTTGAGGCAGTTCCAATGTATCTACATTGTCCGAGCATTGCACATCATTCTCAGCTAAATCTGCTGAATCAGGCGAAAAGCGTAGCCTCAGCGCTAACAAATGCTGGAGGTCTGCGCCAATTACACGACGAGAAACTAGTGTTTTGTTATGGAGATTGGCTCACTTGCTCGACTACTTTGATCTCAAGTGCTGTAATCGCGTGTCGGTAATCAGCACAAAGGCAGCCGTACGCCCCGAAGGTTATATAAAGCGAATAGATCGCGTAAGTGCGGATATATTATTAAATTCGGAAAAAAAGTATCTATGAGATCTATCTATTTGTCTATATAACTCAAAGAAGAAACAGTAAATTTGGCGCCCCAAAATAAAAATGGATAATGGATAAAAAATCAAATAAATAAATCAAAAATTTACAAATACCAAATTAGAATATAACAAAAACATTCAACAAAATTTTCATTTCAAATACTGAATATTGTTCATTTGCAGAAGTATGCAAATTTTTTTATTTCTATACTAGTAATTTGTACTAATAAATATACCAAATAGTTAAACAACTTCACATGCAACCTGTGTATTGCAAAGTAGAATTCTTGAGGCAGGACCAGCGCACCCAAGATCAAATATATTTTGCACGTCGCAAGCTGAATACCCTAACGACATATTTTATTGTATAAAGTAATTTATTAAAATAATTCGGTATTATTATGTGCATTTATTCACCATTACTATGTGAAGGCAAAGCAAAATTGGAGTTTTTTACTCTTTACTTACGAGTACCTTGTACTCGACTGCGAAGTACTTTGTACTTCTGAAGGGAAGGGCATGTATGAGTATATGTGTACGTGTGCACACATACAGGGTTCGGCTGTGGCTGTATGCGTGCAAGAGAGCTGTCTCTCTCCGGCTTCTGAACAAAATCCGAGAGAGCCTGGAGCCAGCTCCAGAGCCAGCCCCAAAAATCGTGTGCAAAAAATCGTGTGGCGTTACGTATCTTATAATTCTAGTATCTTTGGCGCGACGCTATAAAAGGAGAACTGCCACCGCAGTGTGCACTCAGTCCAGAACTTACACCTTGC